AAATTTATGTATTCCATATGTATCCTTAAATTTCATCATCTACATTATTTGGGAAGGGGCACCGATATCAGCAAGCTGTGTGACAGGTATAAATTGCTCTCATTATAAACTGACTGAAACACATTTTTTTGTATTAATTTATGAGGCAACTGTATGCACTGAGGTTACACGGTTTCCAAATGCCAGGTTGTCATTATTGTAGTGAAAGGAAGGGTTTTCCATTCTGGCTATTTATGCCCTTTTTGTTTTTAAGGCATTAAACAACGCAACGATACGGAAAGTTATTGTAACATTAAAATTATTTACGAGCATTTTAATCACAAATACCAGACCGTATTGGTATATGGGCATAAATTCATTTCTCGATCAAGCAGGGAAGCACAGACTTTATCTGCTTTAGTTACGATAATCAGAAAACACAGCATGAATTAAATGAAACATCACTTGTTGTTCTCATTCTATATGCAGAAAATTATTATGAATACCACCTGCTATGACGTATATTCAGATATATGGCCATGAACTAAAATAAATTGAAAAAATACCTTAACATTGTGCTAAAAGGCACAGAGTGAAGCATGATTGGAATTATATTGAGAAAGAAAAAGACAAACACGTGAATTAGAGAACGTAAGCAAGTTAATGACTTAGTTCACATTGTAAAAATTGCAGTGGGTGGGGCAGCTTACATCAATAGAAATATAATGGCAGATGGTTAATAATAACGATTGAGTGGCAGCCAAGGAATAGAACGAGTCTGAGAGGATGTACACCAAAGAGATGGAGTGATGAAATCAGCTCGTGTGCTAGGTAGATTATTACATTGCAGGATAATGAGAGATAGTGGCAGTTTGGGGAGGACTTGATTCAGCAGTGGATTGGCCATTGCTGATTTGTTACCCGTGGTATTATTTTTCTATTATTTTACAATTCAGCTCTATTGCACATATGCCATTAGTTTGAAAATGGGAAGGCATTTTAACACCTGAGACCAAAAGTACTGACTCTCCCTTTCACTTGATGCAATATCAGAAGAGCTGCATGCCCTCTTCATGTGCAAGACTTATTCAGTCGCATCAAACAACGAAAACTATTTAAAACTCAAATCTATCATTGCAGGCTGTCCTTTCATTACTGTAGTGAGTCTAACTGAGTCGCAGACGTTATTCTTTAGAGGCAACACATTTATTGTAACACGTATATACAAAGGGGTAACTGCCCCTTTACCAGATACAACCTGGGGTGGTGACCACCCAGCTAACTACATTACACATAGGAGTTCCAGCTACGAAGGGTCGGACCCTCACTCGGGTCCCCAGCCACGTGTTGGTGCCTCTTCAGACGTAGGATGTAGAGCTTCCAGCTTGTAGAACGAAGCAACCCCGGTCCCTCTCAGGGACCCACCTTATATCCTCCCGGGTCGGGGCTGGCTCTGCCATCGGCCCGCCCACCTTCACGAGCATTCTAGCTCCCTCTCGGTCCCTCTCGAGAGCTCTCCGTGGACACGTGATCATCCCCTAGCCCCCCCCCCCCCCCCCACCTGGGGCCTTCTCTGTGGACACTCCAGATCACGTGTCTATGGAGTTTACCAGAGTGCCATGGCCCGGGGAAACCCTGTCCCTGGGCTGACACTTTCACGCTCCCCCTTGTGGGAGCCCGCACTGCACGCTATGCGTGGTGCCTGCGCTTTCCCAGCGCTCACCAAGCCCCGCTAGGGCTGGTACTACACCCATCTACAGGGTGTACGCGATGACGGTGCATCGTACGCCGTGCTATGCTAAGCTGGCCTCACACAGCAACCCACACGGTGCTGTCCGCGACGTAAGTACATCGCACGCCACAGCCCTCCTGGGCCGGCACTATAGAGTGACATCCCCGATGCCACTACATTACTATGAAAGGAAAGGGAATTCATTATTGCGTGTTTTTTTTTAATGATTAAAAGAAGGGAATATGTTATTGTCTTCATTTCACGTGAAAATAATTTTCCTTGAATGTGAGTTGAAATAAATGAGTCAGCCCACATTTTAAATGCTAATATAAAATGAACAATGGGCCAATAATATTCTAATAATAAAACGTGTCACTTTGATTTTACAATCTTAAGTGAATGTGAAGGTTCACTGGGATATTCTACATTTGTTTTTTTTAAAAGGATCGTTTACGAGAATACTTATTTTTCCACATTAACCCATTTTGCTGATGTATATTGAAGTGGTTACACACGCGACATATTACTTGCCACACATATGAAAGACTTAAAAAATGAAGAAAAGGCTCCTCCGATTTTGTGGAAAGCCACCATTCTCCAACTAAACAATGCTTACGGTGTTTTTTTCTCTTGTTCCAAGTTTTCAGTTGAAAATATATCTTCACTGGGCATTGTGCTGCAGAAAATTTCAAGTAAATTATGGGATGAACACTGGCTCATACCGCTTTGCAATGATGCAGCCTCATTGCCAGAAAAAAAAACATCACTTTGAATTGTGCACCAGAACCCTTGTCTGCACATTGTGCTCATTATTGGTAAACACATCTAATATATGACATCTGCAGAGGAAAGGTTGCTTCTAATAGCAATGACATTCAAAAGCAGCATGTTTTTGTTAGGCTGTTTACTGATAGTGTTCTCAACAAGTTTTTTAAAACGTGTATGATTTATACAGCAGAGCACACACTTCATCAGCCATGACTAATCCATTGCTGGATGAAGGCCTCCCCAAGCCGTCGCCATCATCTCTCGTGATTCTATAATGTAATAATCCACCTACCACCCATGCAGAAGCTGATTGTATCACTCCGTCTCTTTGGTGGATGCCCTCCCAAACACATCGTCCGTTTTTAATCTTCACCATCGGCAATGTTCTCTTCGAGCAACGTGTCCTACCCAAGCAGTGATGTGTCGTTACCTACACATACACACATAATCCACTTAAACTATTAACAAACACTTGTGAAAAAATCTGAACAAATGGTTGAACATCCTGAGCTTTCTCAAGCAGCACTAAGTGTTTATGTTTTAATATGGTATGGCTGTTTACAGGACCAAAATAGTGTTGCACACTCGAAATGAAGGACGTGGGCAGGTGCTCCAAATCAAGGGCGATCAAATTTATTGTGGTTAATCTGTAAAATGCAACAGCACGTGTGTCACCCACAGCAATCCTCAACCGAGTCGCCATTAACCACGTGACTGGTGTACACGTCCGGTTAATCAATATCCCTGCCAGCCCCCCACAGGCCCAACTCAGTCATCACATGCTAGTGTACACATGTGCATTGATGTAATGCACAGCACATAAGGACTTATTAAAAAAAGAGATATCCATTCCTAATGTGCCACAGTAGTGTCGTGGCTCCAACCAATCACGAGTTTGATTCCTGGCCAAGTCTATCATCAGTGGCGAATGATGTCGAAATCGGGTTTGCCCCTCCCCGACTTTCACTCATACATACTAACCAGCGTGGTGAAGTATAGTTACACAACCCCTATGACTAACGTGACATGGGGAGACCTTCATCTAAGGAGTGGCTTTACAAAGGACTGTTAACCATTATTATTACCATTGATATGTTTTAGTATCAAACTAGCTTTACTACCCGGCTTCGCTCGGGACTTGGATTCTTGTCTTGGATTAATACACGGCCTACGTGGAGGGTTTGGGGGGGATGCGTGACGTCTGCAGGCACACTGCGTAACGCTGCCACATGCGGGTGACATCACAGATGTGACGTCACTGTTCACTTGTCGTGCAAAATATATCCATTATTGCGCCCCCCCCCCCCCCCCACCATAATACAAAAGTCTATTTTTATACTTTTTGCATTGTGTACAGTCTGGAAGCTACCCACATGCCAAATTTCAAATGTGTTGCATGTCGGGAAGTATGCTAAACATTTCGAACAGACACACTATCACAACTTTGCCTTTAATATATATAGATTATGAAGAGGCCCAGGTACTAGCAAGCAAAGTTATAGGTGAGATTCTAATTTAAATGCTGTTTTGCACACCATCAATATAGCTCCATTCTTTGCTATTTTCAATATTTATTATAGAACATGATTGAATTGAACTTGGGAATTTACCTTGGGGCAATTTGCACCACTCCTTTAATTGGATGTCAAATAGTATGTTTACATTTTTTATACATATATTTTTGACGACATAAATATGCTTGGTAGTGATTTTTACATTTATTGATATTTGTTATTTTGATGTGAAACTAGCTAAGCACATGTTTTAGGCAGAATGGACAGGGCCCTCATACATCGTTAATCAGTTAATATTTAGTCATTTAATCAGCATCTGTAATGCAACATTCTGGCAGCCTATGGAAGTGTTACTGTTGGCTAGCCACAATTCCGTTTTTAAGTCAGTAACCAGTATCAGTTGATTCCCCCAGTTTTTCTGCCTGCGTTTTATGTGCAGGGGTGTTTCTTGCATTTTTCAGCAAAACCGCAAATTAGTGATTGGTGCACATGGAACAGGAACAAAACTATGAAAAATAATAATTTAGTATCACCTTCCCAATTATCTTTTTCTCATTTGTTATTGAAGCACCAACATAATTTGTACATTCAAAATCACAATTACTGCGTAATGCATTTTCCGTTTGCAGTTGAAATATTGTAATATTGTATTCCACAACTCGATATATTAATAGAAAACAATGTTGAAATATGAATAAAAATGCACACAGCAATAATAATAGAATTCACATATATAACAAATATATTGTCTCGCACGGAAGATAATGTGAAGATGCCTTTGCAAGGGATTTGTTTTGTTCATGGATGTAAAGATGCTAATGGTTCATTGCTCCGCGTCAATGTCAGAAAGCTGTGTATGCTGACACAATCTCTCAATAACGCTACCACGGGTGTATGCCTGCCGCATAGTAATAATGTCGCTTATCCGTTCCTTCTCACCCACCACTCACCCCGTGTTGCACTTCCACCACTCCCTCACAAACGGACACGTGCAACTCCACATGCAGACTCTGCAAACCATGGAGTGAAAAACCATTTGGGTCCGCATTCCTGTGGCATCAACAACCTCTCGATGGACGTGCACACGGTGGACGGAGGGATTTCTACAATCCTGCCGGGCAGCGAGGGACCCCTGGGGGGGCTTCAGTCACCAGAGAAGTAAGCCCGGGTGCAAATGGTGCCCAGTTCCTTGTGCAGTTCGGAGTTCTCGAATATCGCAGACCCTCTTGCCGGCTAGTCTTTGTTATTTTAAGTCGCGTCAAACTTTAGCGGTGAAGTCCACACAATTCACTAATGCAGACCAACACATTGCTATTCCAATATGTCCATGGTAATTCGTCCACCTCCCAGAGCCACTCCAACGATGAGGTAGTTGTGGCACAGTTTTGGAAGCTCTGGTTGTAATCTCCCTCCAGATTGCCATTAATCAGTCTCACACATTAGTTGATTGTGGTTTAAGCCCGTCCATTCTATGATGTTCTGAATCCAAGTCTTCCTTGGGTATCCACTAAATTGTACCTTGCAGTTATTTAAATGTGGTAATGGATATGCATTCATATTTGAACTGGTTTTATGTTTTGTGTGTGAAACAAGTGTAATAGGTGTTCTTTGAGTCTAATATGAAAATATGCGTTACGTTGAAAAGTTTCATTTGTCACTGAATCCAATCAGGTTACTCATGCAAAATAGGTTATTGTTGCCATTGAGGCGCTTGCTCATGCCTTATTTACATAACCAACGAGCAGTGGCTTAGCGTGATTGGCATGGGTCGGTGCAAAGAGTGAAATAGAGACTCCTGTCCAATTTTCCTTTGCAATGTCACTGCTAGCGGCTTGCAAGTTGTCTGTTGTAGAATGTTTTATTGTGCAGTAAATTCGCAAGCCACGAGTCCAAATTCTAAAGTTTAACCAAGTAGCAACAGCAGTAGAGTGTACAGTATTATAAAGGTATATCTTCTTATAAAGTATGAGCCGTGTAGGTATTACGGCGTAAAATGCAATGGAACGAAACCAGCTGTGTCTAATGCCCGGGGTCAGGCATTACACAGTGATATACGAACACTGGATTATTGATAAGCTTGCTCCATGAGAAAGTGGGGATTTTCACGAGAGACCTTAAGTGAACATTGCTCTCCGCGAGCAGGCGCATATACGGCGCATGGCAGTTATCCAGCTGTAATGAGCGATCTGCAAACTCTTTTAAATAATCACAATGCTGGTCTTTAAGTCATGTCTATACACATTAATTATATTTAGTTAAAATTAACAATTTTTATTTGCTCAGTATTTCTTTCATACCTCAGTATAATGTTTTTTTTTTATCATCCAGCAAAACATATTTGGCCTCATTGCTCGAGTCATATTCCATCTTAGGTAAAACTTTTTGGATTCATTAACTATTTTCTCTTTTTTATATTATTCCTCGATTCGAAGGCAGGTGAGACCAGTTATTTATTTTCAAGGCAAACCTCCGTTAAGGAAAATTATCACAAGAAGCCATGTTCAATCCACTGTTGGATTAAATCCTCCCGAAGCCACCACATCTCCCACGATAAAAAAATAAACGACTTGAAGAACTAAATACGCATTGTGCCTCTTATACATTATTTACAAAGATCATTGGGATGAAAATAATGAAAAAAGATAGGCCAATCAATCACGGAGAGTAAACATAGTTTAGGTAAGTTTGTTTCAAGTAAAAGGCAGTTACCTAACAATCTTCTTATCTTCTTCTTCTTCTCTTATATATAAAAGTCTCCGCGCGCGCTTGCGGGGGATTTGGCTCTCGGACGGTGGGGTTTTAGACCGATAAATTTTGCCAGCCGGCACGCCCTAAGCCCCGTGGTGGGAATTGGCTATTCCGTTTTCACATCCCTAAACTTTAAATTCGTTTAATTAACGAATTAGTGGCATTCTTATTTTAATTATTTACTTATTGTGCGACATCGACCGTACCAACCCACGACAATTGCCTGGAGGGGGCGGACTCTGCCAAGTGATGCGCGTTCACTCCAGCTCACGGGGGACATTTCATTTTACGCGTTTAACATGGAATAGATATACACATCACGCTGCCGATTTCTCTACACAGTGTGATGTCCTCTTCCCCCCCACCCACCCCAATGCGTGCAGTTACTGCTATAAAGTCCTTAGATATTAATTTTATATTATTAAAGCACTTACATAGTATTATTCTGGCGAGGGCATGGTGGGGGGGGGGGGGTGGCGGCCCAGCCCGCAGCCTGGCAATGTCTCACCTCCTCCGGCTGAACCTAGAGCTTGCCACTAAGAGGTGGGGCATTACCATCAGCCCCACCAAAACTAAGCACCTGCCTGGGTATTTTGTACCATCGAACAATCCACCCCCACAACTCACAATTGGTGATGCGGCAGTTGTGGAGAGATTGCCGAGATTCCAATACCTGGCCAGTGTGCTCATGACCGGCTCCGGTTTAACAGCAGAGGTCTCACTCCAAATCAGTCGAGCGCCATTATCTTTTCATCGGCTGCGTTACGCTGTGTGGAAGCTACCTGGTCTCTCGCTCCGCATGAAGCTCCAGGTCTTCTCGGCCATGGTAATTCCCTCCCTTCTCTACGCTTGCGAAACGTGCACCCCCCTAATGGAACATCTTCGCCAGTTAGAAACATTTAGGCTGGCCTGCTAACGATCCATCCTGGATTTAACCATATATGTGTGTGTGTGCGTCTAAGTCGATGTGTTTCTATGTGTGTGGGTCAATGTCTGTGTGTAAGTCCATGTGTGTGTCTGCCTTTTTCGCCCGAACAACGCCGGGTACTTACCGCTAGTGTAACATAAATCTAAAGTGTCATAGACAAAACAATGAAAAGTTTAACGACATAACAATATAATATGTAAACCTTAATTACTTAAGCTTTAAAACATAATAATGAAACTTAAGAAAGAATCAGATATATCCAGTTATCCATTTCCTGTTTATCTCCATATAGTGACGTCAAATCACGTGACCCATGCATGTGGAAGCGTAACGCATTGTAGTGTAGCGGTTAGCGCGCTGCGCTACGAACCCGGCGACCCAAGTTCGATTCCTGCTCACGGCCACCACCAGTGACGATTATTTCATCCGGTCCTGGGCCTCCCCTAAGTCGACTCAGCCTCAAACGAGTAACTGTTGTGGTGTGAACATTGCCACTGGGGAGACAAAGGCGGCCGGGTGTGGTGAATCCAAGTCCTGGGCGAAGCCGGGTAGTACAGCTAGTTATTAATAAGAGCTGTTATTCAACCTGCTGTTATTCCACCTGTTGGTTCATTTAATTGATCACTTTATATTTTCTGGGTAGGGGCAGTAGCATAAGTTAAATGTCAGAACGAGCTTTTTCTGTGCTGTTGGGAGCTGCCTACCCAGTGGCAGATGCAGGCAAATTTACTGAGACGACCAACAGGGGAGAGAACCAGTGTGAGAGACAACATCTCACATATTTTATTCCATAAATATTGATAGCATTTACACTATGGGGACCTCATTTGCCAGTAAAAATATGATAATTGGTTCTTTACCCTTCTATCTGGCAACAAAACTGACACCTTTTTGCAAGGAGTCATGTTTGCATAGACCGCAATACCTGCAGTCATAATACAAACAAAAGAACATAACTCTGATAATGTGCACTGTCCTTGAAGTTGATTGGTCCACACCCGAGACAGCTTTCCTTCGAGCCTAGTCTCATATGGGTTGGACCAGATGACGCCAAAAGGCGCCTTTTGGCGTCATCTGGTCCAACCCATATGAGACTAGGCTCGAAGGAAAGCTGTCTCGGGTGTGGACCAATCAACTTCAAGGACAGTGCACATTATCAGAGTTATGTTCTTTTGTTTGTATTATGACTGCAGGTATTGCGGTCTATGCAAACATGACTCCTTGCAAAAAGGTGTCAGTTTTGTTGCCAGATAGAAGGGTAAAGAACCAATTATCATTGATAGCATTGTTTTTTTCACATTATAATTACACATTGTTCTATTTTGAAGCACATCAAGCCTGGTGAAACGGCAGATATGTTTAATCGCTGCGTGTTTCAGCTCTTTGAGTATGTAAAGCAAATCTTTTTTTTTTACCCAAAGACCCAATCATTTTTTTTCCCAACAACATCGCCCAATCTCTCCCAACCATTTAATTTTCCCAAGTGAAGTTTTGTTTTATTTCATCTGCTACCCCCTTATATGATTAATGCTGTGCCCTTGAGTAATGCAACCGGCGGAATGCACAATCAGGCAGCTTAATGGCAGTTTCGGCCCAGCTCGCAGCGTGTGAGGGACTGCTTTGAGCATATTTATGCACTAGACCTTGCTGCGGCAATGACGGCACAAAGGCATGCCATCTCCAATGACAGGCTCGCTAATTTTAATCACGCGACAGTGCAGTACACCTTTAATGTGTCTAACTTTCAATTAGCTCTGTTCTGTTTTCAGTGCCGCAACAGGCATATTGTACAACATTTAGGTGTTGGAGCACAATTTTTCGTTTGAAAAATAAATATGGGTGAGGAGAGACATAGTTGAATGTGTAAGAGTCAAACAAAGTTTTAATGGAAAAACAGAAATCAGGATATTTATGTTGTGGCTGAATATCATTATTTTTTCGACACAATCGACACATTTTAGGATGCAGCTGGGATGTCTAAGTGATGCATTGTCAGCTGTATACAAAACCTTCCACACAATTTTTTTTTACGGAGGGAATAAACAAAAATCAGTGGCATGATATATGTAGCATCAACGATTCGGAGAGAGTGTTTATAGGAGACACCTTCTTTATTAACAACTTCCATGGTCTCGTCCACACACTCTCCACAGTAGCTTAGCCTAGCCTGTACACAACACCAGCCGTCTAATACTGACGGCACTGACTGAGATAGCCAACTACTATGCTTCATAGCGCAATATTTAGCGGAGACGGTAGCGACGACAGCGACGAGACGACAGTAACGACGAGATTAGTCCACTCTCAGAAACGGCAGCCTCGAGCTCCCGCTGTCAGCTCCTTTTATGCTATCAGCGCGGCCTGGCTCCGCCCTGACCACGCCTCCCTTTTCGAACCCACTAGCAGGTTCCAGGGCACTCCAGATCGGCTCCTCCGTGACCGGTGCCCTAGTTCCTCTTGTCTGCCAATACACCGTGCACGTCCTTACCGGCGTGTGTCCTGTCTGTCCACCACAGTTGCCGCTGCTGTCCACCAGCCAGCGCTATTACACTACACATATATAAGCAGTAGTTCCACAACCAGGCGGTGGGTGTCAGGATAAACACATTGCATAGATACATATATTAACTTTGTAATTTTAAGTGTGCTCAATATTTGTATTTGTGAGTTTCCCAATTTTTTTTAAATATGAGGTAAAATGTCATATACATTAAAAAGAAGAAAATAATCTGGCAAAAAAATAATGATGACGTTAGAGACCTGTTACCAGGCTCTTCTGCGAAATTAGGGCCGCAACAATGTAATTCGATCACCCGGCGATTTGATGCATTGCATCAACAAGGGGTGGTGATTAATTTCTTAAATCTTTCATCCAAGCTGTGTTTTTTTTCTTTTGTAAGTACTTTCTTTTTTACTGTCTTTTGTATACTGTCTCAGAGTGGTGTACTGTCTTTCTTGTACTTTAGTCTCTCTTCTACTGTGTGTTTGTAGCTCATCTCAACTGTGAGTATTCGGCTTTCATTGGTCTGCAACGATTTTTTTTCCTCTTTTGTCCATCTCGTTATTCGTCATCACATTGTCTCCCTGGTTCATGTCGATCTAAACATAAAAAATGTGTTCATACCTCGTATATCATGTGCATGTGTAGTAATTTACGTAATCTAAAATAATCAATTGATGGGCAAGCAGTTTTGTAATAGATTTTCATCGATTTCGGGCCCTATAAATATTTTTTTCGCTACCCCCACACTGACCGGGGTTGAGAAGTATGGTCAAACAACTTCTATGATTAACACGGTGTAGGGAGACCATGTATTAATATCCCATAGTTAAGAAGTGGTGTACAGATATTTAACCACGCACGACTCTTTGTGGAGATGTGCGTGGTATGAGAATAATAAACATTCTACAACTGGAGGGAAAATAAACAAAGTAATGACATTACGGATGACAATGACATTTATTTGACAGTTGGACTTTAAATCCTTATATTACGTGCCAATATCGCCCTCAATAAAGTCGGCATCACTTTCAAATGTACATTTTATTAACACACGGTAAAAATCTGAAGCACAAGTGACATGCTTCCACGTTGGTAACGTGGCATCATGAATATTTCTTAGGCCGTCTCAGCCTGAGCCAAGGAGTATTAGAGTGCAGTTCTGGTCAAGAAGGGAGCTCAAGGGCCTGTTTCTGGAATGTAATGGCAACGGTTAAACTAGAGCAGGTTACCTTGATTATACTCTAATTTAATTCCCTTTCGGGAGACAATTTAAACAGCTTTTTGCTGTTAAGTGTCCTTTTTAGCAGATTATGTTTTGTTTGTTATATATATATATATCATATATATTTCCCCACTCCCATATATGCAGTACTAGCTTTACTACCCCGGCTTCGCCCGGGACTTAGATTCACTACGCCCGGCCGCCTCTGTCTCCCCAGTGCCGATGTTCACACACCACACCAGTTAATTGGTACACAGGGTGCGTACGGCAGTTAACGACTGAAATAATAAAGCAATGCTGCGCGAAGAACGCCTTAGACCTGCAACACATTTGTATGGCACTTTACTCGCGGAGGGTTGGGGGGGGGATGCGTGACGTCAGCATGCACACTGCGTTACGCTTCCGGGGACCACGTGGTCGGAGCGAGAGTTCGGGTTGCTGGGACCAAGGTGAAGACATCTCGCCACTGCCGCTCAAGCCAGGGATGGACCTCAACCCTCACGAGTCGCCGGGCGGGTGATGGTTGATCCTCCCGCCCAGATCAGACGAATGAGTGGGTCTGAAGGAACGTGGGCGAGGGCAGGGGCACGGAGGGAGTGCAGCTTCGTGCAAGTTCTGTGTGAGCGAAGCCTCTGTGTGAGCGAAGCCTCTGTGTGAGCAAAGCCTCTGTGTGAGCGAAGCTCTGTGTGAGCGAAGCTCTGTGTGAGCGAAGCTGGGTGCAAGCCTCTGTGTGAGTGCTGCTGTGTGCAAGCTCTGTGTGAGCACAGCTGTGTGCAAGCTCTGTGTGAGCGTAGCTGCGTGCAAGCCCTGTGTGAGCTGCTGTCTGTGTGCGGAGCTGTGAGTGCGGAGCTGCTAAGAGGAAGAGCTGCCAGCAGGCAGGTCAGTGAGGTGTAAGGTAGACAGGGGAAGTTGGTTAACAAAAGTGACCATATAGACAGAGACAGGAGTGCCTACAACTGGTGCAAGAATAGGGCTTCGCTCACAACGTGTCCGACTGAATGATTTTACAAGACACAACATTTGGTGTTAGAAGTGCCAACGAACCTTCGCCATCATGTCCAAGTTGGCGTCAAAACGAAGAAACCCACCTGCTGCGTCGTTGGACGATGAGGTGGTGCAGGACGTCGGCCCTCCAACGGCTCTGGTTGCCGGGGCTTCAAGCCGCTGCTCCGACAACGTGCTGCAGTCGGAGCAGGAGACCGTGGCTAGTCCAACCCTGCCGCCTCCTCTGCAGAGCTGGCTGGACATCGCTGGTCATCTGAGGAGGCTGTTGTCGGCCGCCGCTCACCTGTTCCAGCGGATGACGGCCGTGTTGACCACCGATCTCCAGGGCGCGCTTCCCGCCGCTGTCGAGTCCGAGGCATTGGGAGTGCCGGACCCGTCCGCCATTTTGGAGGCTGCAGCTGGGCTCCGCGCATCTGCCATTTTACGCGATTGTCTCACGCTGGCAGCAGCAGCTGCAGACTCCCAAGCTGGAGGACGCCTTCAGGCTTCGACTACTGCCATTGGTGCGCCAGTTTGTAGCTGCAGAGGGCGATTGGATGGCCTTTTGTCATCAGTTCTAGGCTGCTTACATCTCCGTGGGATGGACACCTGCCGAAGCGCTCTGAGCTCTTCCCACAACCCTCGACGACGACTCACTTGCCGCCTTCTCCACGATCCCTGAGGCGGACAGAGCGACCCTCACGTGCGCCTACACCGAGATGGCCACTATCTACGACCTCCCGTCTAATGTGCGTTGAAGATTCCGGTTGCGATGAAGGGGTGAGAACAAAACGCCGTTGGCATTTCGCAGTGCTCTCCTCGCTCTGGGGCACGTGGCTTTTCAGAAAATGGACAGCCAAGCGCTGGACTCTCTCGCCTTGGGGCGACTTCTCTCCGTGGCTCGAGAGTTGGGGGTCACCGTCGCGGTGACGGAGGATGACAACTTTACCTCACTGGAAGTAGCCTGCAGCATCCAGATACACCTCGACCTCAACGACCGGCCGGCGGTGGCGGCCAGCGCATCGAGGCCATACGCGGACGCACACCGGGGTGCCTCCTTAGACCATGGGTTGGAGAAGAGGGATGCCGCGCAGCGCCCGCAAGTGCGGGAATAGCGCCCCAGGCTGCACCAACCGACCGGGCACCCCTACCATACCTGCTACAAATGCAGCTGTGCGGGACACATTGCCATCGACTGCCGCCGTAGGACCAGAAGGATCCTGCCCCATCCATCCTACGGCTCCAACAACTCCTCTTCCCGCAACGGACAGGGCCGGAGGACCTAAGGACCATGGATGGAGTGTTGCGATTCCCTCAGCGGACCACTCATCACACTCGAGCGGACCTGTCTCTATCTGCGGGGACGGGCCTGCTAGACATACTCGTTCACGACGCGTCATTTTTCGTTAATTCCCCATTCCCTTGTTCTTGTTATTATTCATGGTCACTCCTTATGATTGTCTTGTAGTTAGGGGTCGGTCACTAGACACTATAGAGTTGTGTTAGGGGTTGTCACGTTGCATGCGCACAGGTTATGTATGATTACAACCGGGACGGCTGTGTTTTTATTCATGGGGGGGATGATGTAGTGTGAGATGGAAATGTGTGAGATGGTGAATCCAGTTTTTAAAATGGTTGATAATTTTTTGTTAAAACCTTTATTGAAAAAGCCAATATTTTTAAAGAAAATCTTTTATTTTTGGAATGATTCGCACGGTTGGCTACATACGATATAAAAAGTTTAACATGCAAAAGTCTCATTTAGAATCAGGGAACAGCTCATTGAGACTAAAATGCCTTTTGCCAAGAGCTCGAGTGATTCATATATTAAATCAAGATTGATATATATGGTGAAGAAATGTAACACTTAAAAAAACATCATGCCAAAATACCTATCTCAATTAATAAAATATATATAGATACAGATATTAAAACACCAACAAATATGAGTGTATGTGTTTTCACTGAAGTGATGTTTTGCAGTATGTAAATCAAAGTTTTTACTTTTTTTTTTTAAAAAGAGGTAAATCAGCAGATCTTGCGTGGTGGGGTAAAGTGTGGGTACTCACACATATTCCAATACATCTTGCCAGTTTGAAAAAGTAGGTTAAATATTCGCTACGAGGGCTTTAGATACCCTCCTTCTAGTGGAGGCTGGGCTGTACCTTTACGTGTACCTTACAAAACTAAACTTTTTATTTGACCAGATAAGGCCCACTGAGCTATACGGTTCTTTTTCAGAAGCGAACCTGGCCACAAATGATAGCTCAACAAAGTGGCTTGTCATGTGGAAATTTATAGCAGCCGAATACTATAAACGCATGTTTCTAAATGTGGAGGGAAAAACCAGAGAGAAAATCCACAATACCACAGGGAGCACATGCAAACTCCTAAAATACAGGCGTCAGGTCGGGATCGAACTCACGACCTCCTCCATACCAGGCGAGATATCATCATCATTCGTGCCCATCATACCAACGTAGTCAGACCAATGATGACCATGTGTGGGCACAGACCCTTGTACGATCAGTAACAGTGTATATAACTGGAAGTGATAAGCGTGGCAATATTTTTTTATCGAATGCTGTTCCACGTGACTGCACGGTTAAAGTGGCCAGATACTCACAGGGGATCCCATGAAAACATAGCTGCATTGTCCTCCCACTTTACCGATGACCAAATAGCCGGTCACAAATGAGAAAAACAACGCTGCTAAACAATACCTCGTTCCTTCCCATGCCAGGTGTCGTCGCCGCCTCTCCATCCAGCTGCCCATCCTGCACCACGCCTACTTCCCCACGGTGGGGGGCGTGGACCCCGGCGACTCGGTCCCCTGCTCCAGCTACACTCCGCAGCACCTGCGCAGAGACGGCAGCATATCCAGCAAACACCAACCCCTCACAGTCATGGTGACGGGACTTTAATGGGCACTCAACGATGAGGCAGAGGGGCGCGCGTGCACCCAGATGCACCACCTCCCAGTTGGCTGCTGCAGCTCCTGCGCGAGGACCCTATTTTGTACAAAGCCGTATTTGGCCTGGGCTAGGTTTACGTTCGATCTGTCCATTTTTATACACTAGGAGAAAAATAACATTCTAGAGATATCAGATGAGCATTTAAGATATGGGCAAATGAGCTGGACTTTTGGCTTGCGGATTTTTAAAAATATATATTGTATGCCAACGCACCGACAGATTTGATGAAGATGTTTGTGTACCGCTCCTGGATTGCCACTGATCTGCTATTGGGCCTGAGACATCTGTTTCTCCAACAAGAACTTCACGAAATGTCACGTACCAACAAAATGGCTTAATCTAAACTTTGAATCGGTCATACCGCCAACGACGTTCAGGTGACCTTCAATTAATTATTAATGTACAACAACGTGCTCCAAAGACCTGCATAAACCACAATGTTATCCTCAGCAGTTGGCATACCAGAAGCAAGTATTTTGATTGTGAACAAAATATGACAGATACGAGGTCTTAATTAAAATAATGTCATTTTTTTCAACCTCAAAGAAAATGTAACAGTTATATATGTACTAAATATTAATACATTATAATTCATTATAAGAGTTAACATGTCATGTATTGTAGGTTTTTTGAAGTCTTTGTATTCATTGCAGAACTTGCATATTTGCAGCTTCACATATCTTACAATAAAACTGGTGTACGATTTGCCTTGTCATGCTTTTACATTCGAATGTACTTCGTATAAATATGATACCGCAGTTGGAGGTCAACATAAAATAATTAAACTAAATAAATTCAAGCCATTCTCAATTCACAAATGTATGAAAGTCTCCCCACACCAATTTTTACACCATACTTCACTGATCAGTAACATGTTGGTGAAGGGGGAGGATGGAGATAGGATACCACTTTGCCACTGATGTTAACCATGGGCCAGAATCGATTTCAGGTCGTTGGGTTCATCGTGCAACACACTAACATCTGTGCCACCATTCCACCACGAAATATAAATATGACTTCAAAATAAATTATAAATCAAACATGCTTACTTTTCTATGGGTTACTGAGGACTCCCCTTGTTAACAAAATGTATTTAAATGAAAAATCGAATTGTATGATATTGATACGGGTTACTTCTATTACAATAGCTGGAAAAATGGAAAAACACGATTGTTAGAATACCCATTCCATTATAATAGCACATCCCCATAGGGAACAACATTAAATATTACAAAGACAATTTCTGCAAAAGCTTGAAGGGACTGCAGGGGTTAGGCTTTGAAGGGGGAAATGTCCTGCAGGAATGAACGGTAACGGCGCTGTCCGTTTGAACACTGACAATGTCTAGAGCTGCTACATGGCCAGAGTAGTACTCAGGTAGTAAGAGCAGTGGTGTGACTGAATGTAGAAAATATCACAAACGCACACGTGCCTGTACTTGTCATCAGAGCTAGTTATATGAGCAGCTTCACATTTAAGGATGTTGTCGTGTCAAGACGTACTCTAAAAATGGCCTTGTATTCAGATATAAAAACACTGATACAGAGAGGGAAAAAGTATTTTATCCCCTGCTGATTTTGTTCGTTTGCCCACTGACAAAGAAATGATCAGTCTATAATTTTAATGGTAGGTTTATTTGAACAGTGAGAGACAGAATAACAACAACAAACTCCAAAAAACGCATGTCAAAATTTGTATGAATTGATTTGCATTTTAATGAGGGAAATAAGTATTTGACCCCCTCTCAATCAGAAGGATTTTTGGCTCCCAGGTGTCTTTTATACAGGTAACGAGCTGAGATTAGGAGCACACTCTTAAAGGGAGTGCTCCTAATCTCGGCTTGTTACCTGTATAAAAGACACCTGTTCACAGAAGCAATCAATCAATCAGATTCCAAACTCTCCAACATGGCCAAGACCAAAGAGCTCTCCAAGGATGTCAGGGACAAGATTGTAGACCTACACAAGGCTGGAATGGGCAACAAGACCATCGCCAAGCAGCTTGGTAAGAAGGTGACAACAGTTGGTGCGATTATTCGCAAATGGAAGAAACACAAAAGAACTGTCAATCTCCCTCGGCCTGGGGCTCCATGCAAGATCTCACCTCGTGGAGTTGCAATGATCATGAGAACGGTGAGGAATCAGCCCAGAACTACACGGGAGGATCTTGTCAATGATCTTAAGGCAGCTGGGACCATCGTCACCAAGAAAACAGTTGGTAACACACTACGCCGTGAAGGACTGAAATCCTGCAGCGCCCGCAAGGTCCCCCTGTTCAAGAAAGCACATATATATGCCCGTCTGAAGTATGCCAATGAACATCTGAATGATTCAGAGGACAACTGGGTGAAAGTGTTGTGGTCAGATGAGACCAAAATGGAGCTCTTTGGCATCAACTCAACTCACCGTGTTTGGAGGAGGAAGAATGCTGCCTATGACCCCAAGAACACCATCCCCACCGTCAAACATGGAGGTGGAAACATTATGCTTTGGGGGTGTTTTTCTGCTAAGGGGACAGGACAACTTCACCGCATCAAAGGGACGATGGATGGGGCCATGTACCGTCAAATCTTGGGTGAGAACCTCCTTCCCTCAGCCAGGGCATTGAAAATGGGTCGTGGATGGGTATTCCAGCATGACAATGACCCAAAACACACGGCCAAGGCAACAAAGGAGTGGCTCAAGAAGTAGAACATTAAGGTCCTGGAGTGGCCTAGCCAGTCTCCAGACCTTAATCCCATAGAAAATCTGTGGAGGGAGCTGAAGGTTCGAGTTGCCAAACGTCAGCATCGAAACCTTAATGACTTAGAGAAGATCTGCAATGAGGAGTGGGACAAAATCCCTCCTGAGATGTGAGCAAACCTGGTGGCCAACTACAAGAAACGTCTGACCTCTGTGATTGCCAACAAGGGTTTTGCCACCAAGTATTAAGTCATGTTTTGCAGAGGGGTCAAATACGTATTTCCCTCATTAAAATGCAAATCAATTTATAACATTTTTGACGTGCGTTTTTCTGGATTTTTTTTTGTTATTCTGTCTTTCACTGTTCAAATAAACCTACCATTAAAATTATAGAATGATCATCTTTTTGTCAGTGGGCAAACGTATAAATCCAGCAGGGGATCAAATACTTTTTTCCCTCACTGTATGTCACGGTCAACTAGACCTTTCGTTTATATTATGATCATATTAATGCAATGATATAATTTATAATGAAATGGATCAATTTGCCATATCTTGAAAGGAGAAAGTTTGTATCAATATCAGAGTACCTGCAATATTCCATTGTGTTTGTAAATACAGTAACGCTTAAGTTTTAAAATAATGACGTTTCGATCGCAACACAAGCAACCGTCATCAAGTGAGACAAACACAGCAGGAGAACTGCTGACGCAGGAGAAAGAGCTGTTGCAACACGAGGTTATATAGGCTTTAGGTGGGTTCAACCCATGGGTAGGTGGGCGGAGCTAGAGATGGAATTTGTACGTAAATGTAAGAGATAGGTATGTCAATGTGGCTTTAGGTGGGTTCAACCCAAGGGTAAGTGGGCGGAGCTAGAGATGGAATTTGTACGTAAATGTAAGAGATAGGTATGTCAATGTGGCTTTAGGTGGGTTCAACCCAAGGGTAAGTGGGCGGAGCTAGAGATGGAATTTGTACGTAAATGTAAGAGATAGGTATGTCAATGTGGCTTTAGGTGGGTTCAACCCAAGGGTAAGTGGGCGGAGCTAGAGATGGAATTTGTACGTAAATGTAAGAGATAGGTATGTCAATGTGGCTTTAGGTGGGTTCAACCCAAGGGTAAGTGGGCGGAGCTAGAGATGGAATTTGTACGTAAATGTAAGAGATTAGCACGACAATGTGAGACGGCTCCAGCAACCAGGGGCTGTGCCAATGAGAAGATTAGCATGTCAATGTCAGAGAACTGGGCAACAAGAACAAAAAATCCGCAAGAGCAACTACAAGGAGAGACCAGCATGTCAACGAGAGAGATAAACATGGAGAGAGAGAGACACAGAGAGAGAAAGAGAGACACACACACACAAAGAGACACACACACAGAAACACACAAAGAGAGACACGCACAGAGAGACAACCCACAAACAGAGAGAGACATCCACATAGAGAAAGACACACACAAAGACAACAACAACCGCCATTCGCCACTAAGTGGTGGTGATGTCACCACGACGCTTGTGCCAGGCCATGTGTACCTTCAGGCCACGTGAAGTGTCGAACGCCCGCTGGCAGGAGGTCACGGGGCAGATCCAGGTGCCACGGGCCGACTGACTGAGATGACCGAGATGACTGGCTGATGCACCACCTGTGCCCCCTACTGTGCCAACTTGCTGTGCTTTAGCCACCCGGCGCTCCGCTCGTTGTTGTGAGCATCGCTCCTCCGCCCTCCGTTGTTGCTGGAGGGCGACTGCCTCCAACTGCCTAGTAGAGTCCTTCACGAGCCTCCTCCACAGAGGCCGATCTTGACACCGCTGGTCCCAGTCATCGGCAAGTCCACTCAGCTCCACGTCCTCCTGTACCACATCACTCCATCTCTTCTCTAGCCCGTGCCGCGCCCGTTTAGCCCCCTCGATCCAGCTGTACAAAAACTGTTTAGGCATGCGGTGGTTGGGCATACGGGCTACATGACCCAGCCAACGCAACCTTACCTGCCAGAGGAGCTCACCGATGGGACTTTGCCCAGATCTTTCAAGGATTTGTGAGCTCCTCACACAAACTAGCCTGGTTAAACCCAGGATGGATCGTAGGCAGGCCAGACAAAATGTTTCCAACCGGCAAAGATGCTCCATTAGGGGGATCCATGTTTCGCAAGCATAGAGAAGGGAGGGAATGACTGTGGCCGAGAAGACCTGAAGCTTCGTGCGGAGCGACAGACCAGGGAGCTTCCACACAGCGTTACGCAACCGATGAAAATATATTGCCGCTTGATTGATTCGGAGTGAGACCTCTGCTGTTAAACTGGAGCCGGTCATGAGCACACTGCCAAGGTATGGGAAACTCTCCACTCTTTCCACAACTGCCCCATCACCAATTGGTGAGAGACACACACACAAAGAGACAGAGAGAGAGACACACACAGAGAGACACACCTAGAGAGACACTACTGCCCCATCAACCGATTGGGAGTTGTGGGGGTGGAGTGTCCGATGGTACAAAATACACAGGCAGGTGCTTGGTTTTGGTGGGGCTGATGGGAAGGCCCCACCTCTTAGTGGCATGCTCCAGTCTCAGCAGCAGCGTCTCCAACTCCTCTTCTGAATGAGCAGCTATTACCAAATCATCGGCATACATAACGTGGTTGACCAATAGGGAGCCATCCCTTGATCGCACCCGGGCATTGATCAGCCTTCCATTATATCTGTACCAAATGGAAATTCCCCCGGTACATCTATTGAAGGCTTCACGAACTACGTGGTCAAAATAGATGTTAAATAATGTGGGAGCCAGAGGACATCCCTGTCGCACCCCAAGGTGTACAGGGAAAGGCTCTGACTCCCGGCCACGTAGTTTTACCCGGGCCCACTCACCATCATGAAGGTCCTTAATGATCGTGAGCAGAGGGTCAGGGACTCCGAAAGCACGAAGAACAATCCAGAGCCCAGGCCTACTAATGGTATCATAGGCCTTGACCAGGTCAATAAAGCAGAGATATAGGTCTTGTTGGAATTCCCTATACCTTTGCTGTAGCAGACGGACATAAAATATGGCCTCTGTGTAGGACCGCCCTTTCCTGAAACCGCATTGGGGCTTCGCAAGCCTCTCCTCAGCGTGCCTAGCAAGGCGATGTTGAATAATCCTTGCCAGGACCTTTCCTGGCACACTGAGGAGTGAGATGCCCCTGTAGTTGTTACAGTCTGTGCGGTCCCCCTTCTTAAAGAGGGGGACCACCAGGGCATCCTTCCAATCCTGTGGAACCCATCCAGTGGTCCAGACTGTTGTTATGATGTCATATAGGGCAGTCTGTGCATAAACGCCACCCTCCCTCAGCATTTCGCTTGGGAGATCATCTCTGCCCGGTGCCTTTCCTGATCTCAGACTCCGGATCGCCTTCAGTACTTCCTCAACAGATGGCACCTCAGCCAGCCATTCACAGGGGGTGACTTCTTCCAATAGTTGAGGCACCGCAGCCTCAGCAGGTGTTTTCCTGGCTGAGAGATTTCCCTTCCCTCAGGACCTCACAGAAGTGCTCAGCAAATCTGCAAACCTGTTCCTGGGGGTCGGAAATTGGATCACCGTTTTTTCCCCTAATGATGGTAATAGGTGTGGCGCTGCAGGTTACTTTTTTGATGGAGTTAAATGATCGCGGGCCACTGAGGCAGACTCCATCTCCTCAGCAAGCCTCAACCACCACCCATCCTTGCAGTGTTGAAACGAACCTGGATCCTGTGTTTGTTTGAGATTTTGGAAATATTTTTGGTAAACCCTGCTATGTATGGCAAGGTGATGGTTTTGATTTAGTCATCAAATGGTTGTCTCCCCATGGCTGGGGAGACAGCTTTGCGGATTGTGCAGTCAGAATATCCATTCATCCTGAGTGCTTGGTGTACATGTGTAATGGGTTCCGGAGACACTTGTAGAGGTAACTTTTTTATTACAATACAACACTCCAACAGTCCTGATACCCTGTTACAGCCTAGGTACACAGCCTAGATACACTGCTCTGGCTATGCTCTGGGGTCCTCCGGCTACAACTACCTTAGGGGAGGCTATCTGACTCGAACGAGCCAA